TATTTTGGGGTAACAGGCTTAAAAATGGGACCTTTCGGGATCCAAGGATCTCTCCATGTTCTAATACATTCACCGTTTCCAAGTCATCAAATAACACATTTTTTTCAACAATTCTAGACCATATTCAATACTTCAAACAGTCGAAGCATTTCCTGTAAATACCATGTCAAGGAGGTGACCATTAGGATTAGGATGATATTTTGCACGTAGTTGCCTAGCACATAGGCTCTCATGGGCATCTAGTAGATGCCAAGCCTCCTTTGCAAGTACTTCTTGGTTGAAAACCTGCATATCCCCAAAGCCCATGCCTCCCTTTCCTTTAGGCAGTATCATTTTCTCCCAACTAAGCCATGCCATTTTATTTTTTCCATTCTCCACTCCCCACAAGTACTATCTAATCATGTATGTAAGGTCATCACAGACAGAAACACGAAACCGAAAGACGCTCATAACATATGTAGGAATGTCTTGTGCAACACCTTTGATCAAGATCTCCTTGTTCTCTGAAGAGACATATTTTTCACTCTAGTCTACCAACCTTTTACTGAGGCTAGCCTTCAAAGTTTCAAACATACCATTCTTAATGCTTCTATCAGGGATCGACAAACCAATACACTTTGGGTCAAACACTATTTGGGTTATCTCTAAAGTACTCTTCACTTCATCTAACACCCCAGACATGCAATTATAAGCAAAAAGGATGGAACATTTTGAGTGGTTGATCAGTTGTCCCGTTGACATCGCGTAACTGTTCAACAAGCCTTTCACCAAACATGCATGCTGCTGATTAGAGCGAAAAATAGAAGAGAATCATCTGCAAATAACAAATGAGAGATCATCGGTGCCCTATGGCATATTTTTACTCCTTCCAATCTATCTTCTCTTACTGAATTGTTCACCAAAGCAAACAATGCATTAATAACGAATAGAAATAAAAATGGAGATAACAGGTCACCTTGCCTTAAACCTCGAGATGGTGTGAAAGAATTCAAAATCTTTCAGTTAAACTTCACAGAGTATTTAACTGATCTAGAGAAATCCATCTCGTGGAAAAACCCCATTTGGCGAGAGATCCTTCGAGAAAATCTGAGTACACACCTATGAGCACCCTCGAGAGCTGACAAATCTTGTGATTGATGAATTCACCACAGACCCCTCATAATCAACGGGATCGGCCATCTCTCACTTGAAGAATAGCGAAGAAAATCCTGAAGTAAATTCAGGAAAAAGATGAGCACTATACCATGTTTAGGACTTGTCAGTTCTTCAATATTGTTTGTGACACATGTGCTATAAATTGGCATATGCAAACAAAAAAATTCAGGAAGAAATTGTTTTCCTACGAGCCAGTTCAGTTGTCATATTTGAAATTGGTGCAAAATTGGCATGGTATACCTGTAACAAGGACTTGGGTAATCATATATACGACTCTAATCAAAGCTAGTATGCTATATAGAATGTTATGTGCAATCACACATACTCTTGTGTACACCCTGTATCACTTTGTTATTTAAGGGCATTTCTAACCGATCTCCTAAAAGTTAGCAGAGTACATACCTTAGTGAAGTATATATACTCCACTAAAATTTCACCGCACCTAGTTGATCCCCTAAAGTTAGCAGAGTAAAATTAAATTTGCACAAATTCAATCAACTTTTAACCGAAAGATGATACATTTCAACATAAAGTTCAACATAGAAAGTTCTCGCAACCGAACATTAAACATAAATTTAAACTAGAACAAAACTTAAACTAATTTCGGCTGAAGTGGAGGTCAAGCCAGTCCTTCCAGGTGAGGCCACCCTCGGTGCGAGCTGGGTCCGGGCCGGTCTAGCTGTCGTCGTTGTCGGGGAAGACGCTCCGCCACTCCTCGATGTCGGTCTCGTCCTTGCCGCCAACCTCGCCGCCCGTGTTCCCGTCCTCCTCGTTGCCGCCGCCCTTATTGCCACCCTCGTCGTCCAAGATGACGTAAATTTCTCCATCATTGAAGGCGAATATCGTCCGCTCCGCCTCCACGAGCACCAGGTACTGCCGACGGAGCTCATCCATGTAATCCTTGTCGGCTGCGTTGGCTTCGAGGCGCTCCCTCGCCTCTCGGTCCTCCCGCGCCATCCGAGCGCTCACCACACCAGGCTCCACCGGGACGAGGTCGACCGGAGCCGTGTCGAAGGGGAACTTGAGCCTCGCATCGCGGCCGTGGAACCGGACCTGCCACCGGTCGTATTCTATGGCCGCGAGCTCGGCCGGGTGGAATAAGCCGACCCACATCCGCTTGTGGGTCTCGCAGTCGGTGATTTCAGCCACCCACGTCCCCCACGACCGTCGTCGAACGCCCATGTAGGTCCTTGTTGGCGGTCGCGACAGAGGTAGGTCCTGGAAGTCTACAAATCGCGTGAGGGGCGTGCCGATGGGTGGATCGGCCGAGCAGCGGCGGCTCGAGGAAGTGACCGCAGATGACGACCCACGGGTGTGGCGGCGCGGATCCGCTCTGCGGATCGGGGGTCACCGCGTCCGGCAATGGGAGGAGGCAGGGCGGCGAATTGGGGCGGGAGTCGCGCAGGCGGGCAGAATT